CCCGGTGGGCGCTATTGCTCACGTGGTGGATGAGGAAACTGAGACTTAGATGATTGTGCTTGAGGTCGGGCAGTGGTAACCTGGTCAACTGGATTCAGACCAATCCCAAACACCCTCTCAACAGGTCACCTAGGGTTCCTGTTAAAATGCTCTGAGTCAGTCCGTGGGGGGATGGGGCCTGAGGCTCTACATTTCTAACTAGCTCCAGGGGATGTTATACTGCTGCCAACAGACCAAACCTTCGAAGCCACTAGGCTGGTTTTGGGGCGTGTGTGTGTGTGTGTGTGTGTGTGTGTGTGTGTGTGTGTGTGTTGGGGGAGGGGGGAGATTTTTGCAATAGGGTACTAGCCCTGGCGGGAGAGAGAGAAACAGAAAGCGGGAAATCACCCCCAGGGCTGATGGCCCTTCTCCATTCTCCTCTCGGGATCTTGGGCACGTAGGAACACATACCTGGCATGAATTTTAAGCCACTGGGTCTGAGACTTGAACTGCAGTCAACTACAGTTGGGAGTCCAGCGACATACCCACTACACCATCTGCTGGTCCCAATAAGTCTCTTCTTTCCTGCCAGCATTAGTTGATTGGTAACTACTTCCTGAAGATGGGGGTAAGAGGATTCCAAGGCTCTCTTGGCTCTTGCAAAGAATGCTGCAATTAGCCTTGTTGATTTTGGTTGATGGAGAAAAAGGTTGTGACAAGGGAAGGCTGGGAGTGGCCTTGCCTGAACAAGGCCACATCCGAAACAGTATCTTTATTGCAGGAGTGGTTATGATGTAATAGGCTATCAGAGTGCTAAAGGCGGATGCCTTTATTCCAGTACTCTCTGTCATTAAGGAAACTTTAAGTTAATGATTTTTGTTCTGTTTTGTTTTTAAAAATCTGTTATAGGGCATTCACATTTTTCAGGAGGGGGATGGCCATGCCACAATCCCTCCTACTCCATTCTCTTCTTGGACTTTTGGGTATCCATGCACCTGAGTCTGGATGCCAGGTCTGGAATTCAAACCATTCAATCAACCATGTGGGATCCAGGTACCTTGATTACCATGCCATTGGCTGGCCCTAAGCCAAAGTCTTAAATGCACCATGTAGGTAGCACGAAACACTTCACAAAGTGCTCACATGAATAATTTTTACCTATTTTTATAACATTGTGAGGTAGGTATAATTTCTCTTCACAGGAAAGGAGACTGAGGTAGAGTGATTTTCCTGAATTATTGATGAATATCTGTGTAGTTGGTGTGAGAGTGTCAGAGGTCTCTAGTTCATGGCTGATTTTACTATATCACTGTATCAGTTTCCTATGGCTCCTATAACAAATTTCCACAAACTTAATACAACACAGATTTATTTCCTTATAGTCCAGAAGTCTGAAAATGAGATTGTAGGATTAAAATCAAAGAGCTAGCCAGGATTGTGCATTCCTTCTGGAAGGTGCAAGTGAGAACCTGTTCTTTGACTTTTGCTTCTAGAGGCTGCCTGCATTCCTTGGCTAGTGACCTCATCGCTCCCATCTCCCCTGTCTCTGACTCTCCTGCATCTCTCTTAGGACGACTCTTGTACTTATATTGGGTTCACCTGGATAATACAGAACACTCTTCAAAGTCCCTTTTGCCATGTAAGAAAATATATTCCTAAATCCCAAGGATGAGGGTGTAGATGTCCTTAGAAGGTGATGGTTCTGCCTATCGAGACCACGTTTTCTACTTATCCCGCAGTTTCTACCACACTTTATCCATCCTTCTCTTCTGCTTGATTTCTCAGACTACTGGGAAGTTATTTCAACTCACAAATTCACAAGAAAGTCATTTAAGAGGAAACAAATGAGTACTATCAAAAAAAAATATTCTTAAGTTCTGAAAAGGGCAATCAAAGAACACTTAGGATTATGGTCATGAAAAAGGAAATAGAAGATTTGAAGTTGCTGTTGGTCCAGTTGACACTGAAGAGATCCCTAACGGAAGTCGTCTCATAATTAAAGGCCCTCTGTAGCAATAGAGGTGTTCTAAAATTTCTGCTACTCCAGCAGTACACAGTTTCATGGGAAATAAAGCAATGCAAAACTCATACCAATTAAGTATAGGGTGTCATTCAACTTTCTCCTTTCTCTCTCTTGGAAACAGTCTAGTGCGTGTGTACACACACACGCCCCACCACCAAATGGGGAAGGAAATGAAAGCCTCTTATCAAAGAGACTTTCTTGACCACGCTCTCTATTAGCAACTTCCCTGCCCGCTTACCTGCTACCGCTTCTACCTCCTTATCCTGCTTCGTGTTTCTCTGTGGGATTTATTGCAACATTTTTATATATGTTTTTTTTAATTGTATATGTCTACCTTCTGGGAGACCAGGGACCTTGTCCCCATGTTCACTGCTATATCTCTACAGCATAAGACATTGTCCCAACACTTATTAAGTGCTTAGCAAATATTCGTTGAATGAATCATTATCCATGATTCACAAATTAAGGAACCAATATCCTAGACATTTACATGACCTTTACAATGTCCCACAGCTATTAGATAGCTTTATCAAGGCTAAGACCCGATGTCTAGCCCAGTGCTTTTCTTGATGTGTTTCCTTTCCAAATGAATGTCATTGGTGCTGTTTAAATAAGGGCAGCAAAGTATTTTTTTTTTTTTTAAACTTTTGTATGTGGGACTAGACTCTTCCCTAAATGTCACGTCTTCCCTGAAAACTTCATCAGTTTAGCTGGATTGGCAAGAAGTATTGGCAGGATGGAATTACCAGTGGTGGATCCTGGAGGCCTGCCATCAGTTGCACATTATTTGGCAACACATATTACTATATGTTGCGATGTAATTGTTCTCAAGTTAATTCACATGCGCTTGTCCTGACACTGAATTATAGCTTTTTTGGACTCAGGGACCATAACTTCTGTTTCTTTGATATCCCTTCATTCTACCCAATACTGGGCTTTAAATAGACTTTATCACTGCATGGTTACAAAATGGCTGCCATCTCTCCCAAATGTATATCTTTACAAACCACACTCAAAACAGAAAGAAAAGAATCTTGGTGGAAAAGGGAACTTATATTTTTTATTACAATGGACAAAAATATAGTTTTCAGGACTGACTATCCAACTCCAAAGAATTGGCCAGAATTCAAACATTGGATAACTCAGGAAAGCTGTGACAGCCAGTACCTAGCACTAAGGAATGGGCTTGGTTTGATTTTTCTAGGCTAGATATTGTGTTTCCTCAATCAAAATGGAGCTTCTGTGGGTAAGGGAGATAAGAGAGACTGAAGGTTTACCCTACCCGTGTCTTTCACAGGCACTCAGTAGAAAAATACCAAAGACTCTCAGTAAGGTCCATTTTGATGTTACCTTAGTGCATCTGGGCTTCTGGCAGGAAATGGCAAGCTTGTGAGTCAGGCTTCGGCTAATTTCCCCCTCCTTCTCTTCTCTTTTCCTTCTCTCCTTCTCTCCTTCCTCTCTTTCTTCCTTTCTCAATCTTTCTTCTTCTTCTATTCCCTCTTTCTCTCTTTAATACTAAATAGCCAGCTCAAGTCAAGAACGAATTTGCCCTTTCACTGCCGTTTTCTATTCAGGATGTCAACCAATGAATGGATATATAAAATGTGGTTTATCAACACAATATAATATTATTTGGCAATAGTAAGAACGAAATGCTGATACATGCTCCAATTAAAAAATAAACAAAAGATCTGAATAGACATTTCTCTATAGAAGATATACAAATAACTAAGAAGCACATGCAAAGTTGTTCAACATGATGAACTCCAAGGGCAATGTAAATCAAAATCATGATGAAGTAGCACCTTATACCCATTAGGATGTCTCCTATCAAAACCCAGAAAGTAACAAGGGCTATTGAGGATGTGGAGAAATTGGAACATTCATACATTACTGATGGGCATGAAGAATGGTGTAGCCAGGCCAGCCCTGTAGCCCAGTGGTTAACTCCTGACCTTGATTTGAATCCTGGCCTCAACGGCTAGGAAAACATACTAGGTATATGTGTGCACATGCCCCAAATCCCAATAAGATGGAAATATGGACCAGAGGGGACTGTGGTATGAATATGCCCCATTGAGGGGTGCTTTCTCCTTCTCTCTATCTCTCTTTCAAATACACATGCCCACTGGCAATTAAAATAATGAATTAGTTCATTATTTTTAAAAAAGAAAAATGGTGCAGCTGCTTTGGAAAACAGTCTGGCAGGTCTCTTAGATTAAACAGAATCACCATATGACCCAGCAGTTCCATCTTAAGGGAGTATTGAAGAGAAATTATAGGATATGTTACATGAGCATCATGCACAAATGCTCACAGTGACTTGTTCAGCCTGTTCAGTGTGAATATCCCAAAAAGTCACCAACTGAGGGACAGATACCATGTATTACAGTATGGCCATAAAATTGAATTTTATTCAGAAATAAAAA